ACGTTTCAAGGCAAGATATGGAATCAAATCTTATCGACGTTTTGGTGAAAGTGGTTCAGTTATCATGGAGAACATTGAAAATGCTTTACCTGGAATACGATCAAAACTAGATCAGTTTCAGTTAAAAGATATTTACAATATGGATGAAAGTGGATTATTTTATCGATGGGAAGCTGATCATTCACTTGCTACCAAGCAGCTCGAAGGACGCAAAAAAAAAAAAGGAGAGAATTGCTGTTGTTGTTTGTTGCAATGGTGATGGATCTGACAAAGTACCATTTTGGGTTATTGGTAAGTATGCAAATTCTAGATGTTTTAAAAATGTGAACATGAACAATCTTAATTGCAAGTATCGATCCAACAAAAAAGCCTGGATGACTGGCTTGCTTTTTCAAGATTTGTTGGTTGGTTTGATAAGAGAATGAATGACGGGAAGGTTTTCTTAACAGTAGACAATTGCCTAGCTCATCCAAAGGTAGTTGAAGGCTTGAGAAATGTAGAGTTATTTTTCTTACCTCCCAACACAACGTCTAAGATTCAACCATGTGATGCTGGAATTATTTGAGTATTCAAAGCTCATTAGCATCGTCGTTTTTATTCTAGCATCTTACAAGGCCTTGAGGTTGAAGCACCAAATCCTGAAAAAATTAATATTTTGAATGCTATTAATTTTGCTAACATGACTTGGAATTTTGATGTGAAGACAACAACAATTGCAAATTGTTTTAGGCATTGCAAGATTCGATCAGAAGAAAACAATGTTCCTGAACCAGAAGTTGGTGAATTAGATGAAGGTATCCAAGGATTAAATGATGTCATCTCTAATTTACACTATAGAAATGTGATGGATGTTGAACATCTTTTGAACTATTTTAGCGAGAATGATGCAGTTATGGAATCAACTACAGACGAAGAAATTATTCAATTTGTAATGAACAGTAATGATGATGAGAATGATCCTGAACCAGATGATAGTAGCGTTGTCCCAAATGTGTCGTCAAAAGAAGCATTTCAAGCAATAGTCACCTTAAGCAACTACTTGCTACAACACGAGCAAAATATTCTCGAAGTTGTGTATGCTCTACAAAAAGTTAAGGATGGGGTTCATTTTGGTTTAGGTGGGAAGAAAAAACAATCAACTATAGATGTATATTTTCAAAAGGAATGATTACTGTACGGGTATTGTTGATTGATTGAAAGATTTTGGTCTCTCTCTATATATATATATATATATTTTTTTTCCTCAATGAAATCCAGTAATTATTACTTTATATTTTTATTGGGCCCTTAAGGATTCAATTTTTTTTTATTACTTAATGCATTTAGCGAGGTTATTACTTTAGTCCATTGGCCCAAGTCGGGATCGAAAGAAATTATTATATAATCGAGGTTATTACTTTATCGAACATTATTTTATCGAGATTTAACTGTATGCAAACTTTATTTCCAATGCTACTCTCTCCCTCCCTTCCTTTCTCTCTCTCTTTCTTTCTTCTCTCTCTTTCTCTGTCTCTTTACTTACTGTATGTATGAATTGGTGTGAGTAAAACTTTTTATCATGCCTCTATATATGTGTAGGCTAGAGTAGATAAAAAAAATTTTGATTTGATAAAGCTAAATCTTGCAATCAACGTCTACTCACAATGTATTTTATTATTATCTTATTTAACTACAAGATATCCACTATCTCTATCCAACTGCATATGGGTGTATGGTGAATTTTTTTGTAACTAGAATAATAGAAGAGTGAAAACATGGGCCATCCTAGGAATCTCTAAATCAAAACTAATAAATAATGATAAAAGTCCCACCACACTTTTTTTTTAAGAGAGAAAAACGAATTGACTTATAATCTATATAAAATTATATTTATACTATTTTCTTCAATTGGATCTAACTTAATATGTTCTTATCCAAAATAATTTTTTCTCAAGTTAAAGACTTCAAGTTAATTACGATATATTCAACGAGTACAATATTGATATACCTATAATTGTTCTATCAAAATCTAATTTATTTGACCCAGATAAAATAAGACTTTATATAATATACAAAATAAATAAATTTTTATATATAACATTTTTTGGGTTGCTACACTAACAATGATACGATAAGTTTGAACATTGTCTGTATAATATGAGAAAGTTAATCATTTTGATTTACGTGCATAATAGGTTTATCTAATGATTTACATGCAGAAGTGTCAAAAGGATAGTTGTGAATTTTTATTTATTTATTATTAATTTTTTTTTAAATTAATTTGATCCAATCATATCTTACCATATCATATTTATATGAACCATTATATAAACTCTTATGTACATGTAGTACAATATTTATGTGAATAATAAGGCTACTAACAATTATCCAATGAAGTTGAAATAAATTTTGTTCATTGGAGATGGAAAATACATACAATGGTAAAGTCATTATCATATAGACCGATGATCATTGCTGTGAACATAAATTGCCCAAATAAAATATCTGAAATAATCGAGAACCACCTGCCCCTCTTTAACAAATATAAAGAAAATAAGCAAGATTAAACATCTTTTTAGGCAAGTGTATACGTAGGAAGTGGCCTAAGAGTGAACCTTACTCTATTTCTTCGGTTAAAAATGACTGCCTATGCTTCCATGGCAGCTTAATACACTGAACCAGATAAAAGATTAAATTGTATTAAAGAAGAAAAACACAGCAAATTTAGTCATAGTTAGTCCTACCCCAACAAACATGTCATCTAGGTTTAACTCTGGTCTTCACGGAGTTCCAAGTGATTTATCAACCACCAACATAAAAAGGTAAGAGGGAAAACAAAAATTAAGTTCCAACATAATATATTTTGACAAATTAATTAAGCTACTTATTACTTCAACTACAAAGTTTGGAGGAAACCAGCATACAAAAAGAAAAACTGCAATCCCCCGTGCGATTTCTCTGGAAAGTGAATAATCTATAGACGCATCAGAAAGATATGGTACACGTGCCATCAAATAATGGGGCATTAATTAATGAAAAACAGGAAAATGAAATTAAAGTGCTACACTTATCCAGCAACATACTTCTACACCCTTACAGCATCCGAACAATATAGTTAGTCGTTCCAGACGAGCAGTCTCCGATTTATAACTTCAGTATGCATGTGGTGTTGCAGACTGTAGCAGTATCTGATCTTTGTAAACTTCAGTATGGAGCTTATCCGGAAAAATATGAACAGAAAATTTTGAGGAAACGGTGCCTCTTTCACCACCAGAGTTCGGCCTATAAACAAAGCAGTTTATGACTATAAACTATCTTCTTGTGAAAAGAGTACGTCAAAATGTCACTATTAATGTACAACTGGCTCATCCAGAATTCCCAGCAACCTCTGCGGCACGCTGCCTCATCATTTCCATCACAGCTGCCCTTCTTCGGGAATCAGACTGCTGTTGCAGCCTTCTAATGTGCTCAGTCAAATCTCTGCATCAAAACATTGTAAATAAATTCATATGGTTTCTAGCACAAAACTAGGTTCATAGTGATGACACAGAGGTATGGGGGAAATTTCAAAGTCCCAAGGATAAAAATGAGATAGGTGAACAAACCTGCAGCGCGGTACAGTGCATTACATATACGCATTAGCCCCAGTTTGGCCCTCATTTTGGGATATGAAAATGGATGAAATAGTAATTTTTTGAAAAATGAATTGTTGAAAAAGAAAAAAAGGTTTTTTATTTATATATAATATTATTTTATGGAATATTATGTGGTTAAAAATCGAAGAGAAAAAAATGAAATGAAATGGAATTGAAATTAATGGGGGAGTCGGTAGAGCATATTTTAACTTCTTTGCTAATTTCTTAATGCCTCTCCCTCGAATCTAAGTATTTCATTTTATTTTTTGACAAATAAATCCAGTAAAGTAAACAAGCCAAAAATATTTATTTATTTTGTACTTACCCAAGTCACTGTCTTCTTGCAACTGCCAGGGAGAGTAATAATAATTGTGAAAAAGACAGTCCTCTTGTGTGGCCGTAGATATTGAAAACTTCACCTGAAAGGGAGGCACTCATTTAATGACCTTGAATTTAATTTAGGATCTTTATATTTGTGTACTCATGAATTTCTTCATTTCTATAGTTTGTAAAAATTTATATAACCTTGCTACATGTATATTATGACGTAGTTGAAATTACACTTTAATTTAAGTTTCAAACAATTTTTTCATTCAATTGACACTTGACAACAATGTAAATATCAACCAAAGTGTCAAAAATCAATATAAAAATAGCAAAGTTCAAATTTATATGGCCTTTCCCAACTACATGCATATTATAAGTTCCCCTAACCGACAACGAAATGTTCGTACATTAATTGCCAATTAAAGAACATCAACTCAGAAATAAAGAATTGTCTTGTCAGTATTGAATTGAGCTTCTTCAAACGTAAACTCCATATTTTTTCAAGTTCAACATTTATGATAGTAAGTAATGTACAACGTTTTTCAAATTTTAGTGACCAAAATTCGACATTTTCAACTTCAGTGAGCAATCGAAAATATGAATCTAAGTTCAGTGATCAAAACTCGACATTTTCAACTTCAGTGACCAATCAAAGACATGAATCTAAGTTTAGTGACCATTGTAACAATTAATTCAAAAAATGATTTCTTATTTCTCCAAAGTTTGATTGATGATTTCTGTTAATTGAGAACATAATGATGGAGATTTATGTTGTTGTTTTTAAAGGTTTAGGGACTCAGAAGTTCAGTCGTGCAAAAACTAATGACTCAAGTCTAACTTTCGCGTTATTTAAGGCAAGCGGCCAAGTCCACTGCAACATGTACAATAGAATCAAGAACTTGCCTCGCCGACCCACAAACTAAACTGACGCCAAATGAATGGCTACTATCAACTCTCATTAATTACTATCATAAAAGCTTTACTTGACTATCCAACATACAAAATTAAAGTTTGAATCTGATTTCTTTGCCATTAAATGATCCCCAACAAACTCCTTCCCCTCCACTTTGTTAGTTTCTCATTTCTACTTATTTCCAGTTCAGTATAAAAGCTCGCTTAATTTGTTTATTGAGACAAAAAACAAAGACAAACAGATGGAATGTGTGTACTTACCATGGTTGTTCTTGGCCCAGTTTTTGATGTTAATCATCACTGGTGCAGCAAAAGTTCCAGCCATTATAGTGTTTGGAGATTCATCTGTTGATGCTGGGAATAATAATCAGATTTCGACTATGTTGAAGAGCAATTTTAGGCCATATGGTCGAGATTTCTTTGGTGGGAAAGCCACAGGGAGATTCTCAAATGGCCGTATTCCTCCAGATTTCATTTCTGAAGGATTTGGTCTTAGGCCATTTGTGCCTGCTTATTTAGATCCCATGTATAAGATTTCAGATTTTGCTGCAGGCGTTTGCTTTGCTTCTGCTGGTACTGGTTTTGATAACTCAACCTCTGCAGTACTTGTAAGTCTCCAGTTTTCATTTCAGTTGCTACTTGCTTTAGTACAATTTTTCTTTTCCTGCGTATAGCCGATCTCAGGCCTGAGCTTAAGACTCTCGTAACACCTCGTTTACCAACTGCCCGGATACGGAAACATAGACGGAAATAAATCGAGGTATTGCATGGTCGATCTCAAATTTATTACTGTTTGAATGCAGAATGTTTTACCAGTTTGGAAGGAAGTGGAGTACTACAAGGATTATCAGAAAAAGCTCAAAGCCTATGTGGGTGAAGAAAAGGCAAAGTTCATAATCAGTGAGGCCTTGTATTTGATTAGCATGGGAACAAATGACTTCCTAGAAAACTATTACACACTTCCAGACAGACAATCCCAGTACAGTGTGGATCAGTACCAGGTTTTCCTCTTAGGACTCGCAGAAAAATTTATAAAGGAGATATATGGTTTAGGAGCTAGAAAAATGGCCTTAGCAGGTTTACCTCCAATGGGGTGTCTGCCATTGGAGAGGACAACAAATTTCTTCAATGGAAATGGAGAGCGGTGCAATGATGGATACAACACTGTGGCACTGCATTTCAATCAGAAACTGAGTGGTTTAGTGAACAAGTTGAACAAGGAATTGCCTGGCATAAGAATGGTTTTATCAAATCCTTATAATATGTTCGTGCAAATCATCAAGAAACCTTCATTATTTGGTAAGTTTTTCTTTAACTTATTTTGTATTGAGTAATTTTATTTAACATCAGTCAGACCCCATTAATTAATTATTCAATGCATCCCAACTGCCTCGTAGAATGTGATACTACCTAGCATTATGTTTTTGCATAGTACGGCGTAGGTGATAGTCATACCCACTAGGATCTTGCTGCTCTGTCAGTGTGGGGTTGACCGAACCCCCACCGACTACTCACGTACAAGGAGAGGGGGAGTGGTGCATTTTTGGGGTATCATTAATGAGTTCCGGATCCACCTCATGTGAGTAACCTGTACAAAATCTGATAGAATGATTCGATAGAATAGTTTTATCCATTCACATTAAGCCCCATTTGGCATGACCTTTAAAAAGGCCAAAGGGCTTTTGAGATTCAAAACTATTTTTGAATTCGTTTGGCTAATTTTATGAAAGTGTTTTTTTCTAATTAAAAAAGTTCTTAAAGAAAATTGGTCTAACGAGACTTGAGCACTTTTAGAATAGATGAAGCTTTTTTTAAAATTAGTTTTCAAATAAAAATAAAAGTAGTTTTCTCCAAAAACTTTTCTACATAGACCGAAAGTAAAAGTAAAAATCATGCCAAATGGACCTCTAATTTATTGTCCAATACATTAAAAAATGAATCTCAACCACCATTTAAATAGGTGCTAAGCACCTATGTTGCTACATAACATTACTCTAGTGCTTTTAAAATATTATGCCACCTTGTATATGAAATCCTTAGAGATGCTCAACCTATTAAAATACTGGTGGGAGACGCCTATATTTTAGTGAATTCTACTAAAACTTGACTTAGGTAGATTTATATTTATACAAATATTTAAAATCCATTAAAATCTGAGTCGAGGACAGCCCTAAATGAAAAATAAACATACGTCTAATGTGTATAATATTTTATAAGTTTCGAAAACCAAAACTTTGTCAACACATCCCATATTTACCTCATATTAATTGTATTCTTAGTTACTTTTGTACAACTTACGATATCATGGAAGAAATAACACACAAAAATTTCTTGACACGGTTGGTCGTGTCTCTTATCACCTGTATTACTGTACTTCTTGTGATATATTTGCTCGCTTTTTATTAAAAAATAAAAATAAAGAAAGAAAACCTGTCATTCTTAAAGATTGTGGCAATTTATGTATGACAGGATTTGACGTAGCAGCAGTGGCATGTTGTTCGACAGGAATGTTTGAGATGGGATACTTATGTGATCAAATGAATCCCTTTACATGTTCAGATGCAAGTAAGTATGTATTTTGGGATTCTTTCCATCCAACAGAGAAAACAAATAAGATCCTTTCTGAGTATCTTCTCAAGAGTAGTCTGCGTCAGTTTTTGTAGTTTAAACTATTTGTTTATGGAAGGTTTTTTGTACGATTAGGGTGTGAATATTTGTTTGTCTGTTCCTATTTGTTTTAAGGTTTGTATTGTATGGCCGTGCGGGTATGATGTCTTCTATTTTTACGAGTACCTTATAACTTATTTGTCGTGCTAGACATTGTTCAAATGTTGCTCTCCATTTTAAATATATTGAAGATTTCTTTATCGTTGAACAATGAATCTCAAGACACATTTTTGTCCGACGCTTACTAAGAAACTAGTTCGTTTCACGTGCCATGCACATGAAGTATATTTACTCGAGCAAATTTTGGTACTTGTTTTTTTGGGTTTGTATGGACTATGATCTTGTATGATTACATTCCCAATCTAATGTTACATTTGTATGAGTACTATAATTGCTTCTTGTCTTAGACAACCGTTAAGCCTCTATTTGAACCCTCATTATATAAAAACTTATTTTCAATCACACATTCTTTCAATAAAATAATATTTCACGTACACCCAAATTTTCTACCTTTTAACCGTGTTCTTCAACAAATCGTTATATCGAAACTCTTTCTTTTAAAAATGGAGTTCAAACATACCCTAAATAATTCAATCTATTTTAACATTAAGATAAAATTATTGGTAGTATATTGTAAGGTTAGCATTGCCATTACTGTAACTCGGGAGGAACTCAACTTCGAGCTGAGGGACAAGCACACGGCTCTAATTTGGAGGACTAACAAGTGCTCCATATATCGATAAAATTATTAGCGCACGGAGAACTTAAATTCATCGTTAAACAAGTGCACGAGGACTGCTCCACGTATCTGACGTGGTGGCTCACACTGTCACGCAGAACTCGAGTCCGAGCCATGGTATAAGTTCAATACTGGCATCTGGACTTCTATAGTTATGCCTGTGGCCTTTAATATGATCCATTTTCCATTCATATCAAGCAACAAATCTCCAAGATTCCATCCAACTCTTCTACCATTTGGGTCCGATTCCGACTTCTTTCTCCTCCTCAAATTGACAGGACCCTCTCTTGTAACTATAGTGCGCTCGAGACAGGTTATTGAAATAAATATTGGCCTCGTTTGATACACATTAATGTAAAAATGAGAATGAAAAATAAAGCCGTTACGGGTCTCATACAAAAAATTAAAAATCAAATATGATGACTTGATATGATGTATAACGGTCATATTTTTAATTTTAATGGGCAAATAATGAGAAACAAACGGGAGCTAATTAAGTGTAAGACCCACCAATGGCTAACTGTAACGCTCCAAATTTTCATAACACCGGAACGTTACCAAAAAAATATTTTTCTTTACTTTACATGTGAAAATATCAAAATTAAATTTTTTTTTATAAGTAATAACTACGGCATTCATAAATTTAAAATAAACATAGCGATTGTATCTGGAAAATAACAATAAGAATTTCTTTAAATTAACAAACAATTATGAAGGCAGAAAGACTTAATGGAAAATTTATTATTTGTTACTACGATTCACTTGGCGGCCTGCATTACCGCCCTTCCACAATTCCAATTGACCCGAACTAACATTAAAAATTTGTAAAAGTGAGTATTCGAAAACACTCAGTAAGATACGTGCAGTTTCCATATACATATATATAACAATAAAAATTACAATTCATACCATCTGATCTTATGGAGTATATCGGTAACTAAGCGACACACCCATCTTAAATCTTTTTATTATCCCGTAGGATTTCATATCTCTTAAAAAAAATGAATGCCTACTGGCAATTCATGCATTTTTTATTGAACATAAACGCATAAGAAAACAAAGACACTTGTACTTAAAGTATTTTACCTTTTTAGAAAAATCTGAAGCACGTTCAAAATCTTTTTTTTCTTTAAAAATACGTGATTAAAATATTCAATGTACAGTTAAACCTCGATAAAGTAATACCCTCGGGACCGGAAAAAAATATTCATTTAGCGAGATTATTTATTTATCGATAAATGAATAAATTATTCATTTATCGATAAATAAATATTTATTATTTTGGAGAGAGCTTTTCAAAATAAAATATGTACATTGTATGTGGTAAGAAAAATCAAAAGACACTAATCAAAGTATTATTTGAATCTAGGGAAGCTCAAAAGTTTTAGTGAAATTTAATGTCTCTAAAAACTAAATTCATGTACATAACAAATGAAAAGATTTAGTCTTTACCTATAAAAGCTAGATGTTTGGAAGACATATTCCAAACACATACAATATTTTGTTTCCCCTCCAATGTCTTCTCGTCATTTGAAAGGAGTAAAAAAATCAACTTTAATCGATAAAATGAGGAGTGCAATATGTGAGCATAAGAAAGAGAATTCAACTATTAGCCAAAAAGATATGCAAGCATGGGTGCAACAAAAGTTTGATTTGACTATTAGTCAATCAACAATATCGAACACTCTCAAAAGGGCGTCGAAATATTTGTCAAATGAGATGAAAAATAGCGATGTTAAAAGGCACAAATCGGCAAAATACCCTGATTTAGAGAAAGTTTTGTATGAGTGGTTTTTTCAAATGAAAGATAAAGTGAACATGTCTGAAGAAATTATCCAAGGAAAAGCTAAAGTGCTTTTGCAAAAAATGTATGGTGAAACTAATCCAGAATTCAGCTTTTCTAGTGGATGATTAGAACGTTTCAAGGCAAGATATGGAATCAAATCTTATCGACGTTTTGGTGAAAGTGGTTCAGTTATCATGGAGAACATTGAAAATGCTTTACCTGGAATACGATCAAAACTAGACCAGTTTCAGTTAAAGGATATTTACAATATGGATGAAACTGGATTATTTTACCGATGGGAAGCTGATCATTCACTTGCTACCAAGCAGCTCGAAGGATGCAAAAAAGATAAGGAGAGAATTACTGTTGTTGTTTGTTGCAATGGTGATGGATCTGACAAAGTACCATTTTGGGTTATTGGTAAGTATGCAAATCCTACATGTTTTAAAAATATGAACATGAACAATCTTAATTGCAAGTATCGATCCAACAAGAAAGCTTGGATGACTGGCTTGCTTTTTCAAGATTTTGTTGGTTGGTTTGATAAGAGAATGAATGGCAGGAAGGTTCTCTTAATAGTAGACAATTGCCCAACTCATCCAAAAGTAGTTGAAGGTTTGAGAAATGTATAGTTATTTTTCTTACCTCCTAACACAACGTCTAGATTCAACCATGTGATGCTGGGATTATTCGAGCATTCAAAACTCATTATCGTTGTCGTTTTTATTCTAGCATCTTACAAAGCCTTGAGGTTGAAGCACCAAATCCTGAAAAAATTAATATTTTGAATGCTATTAATTTTGCTAACATGGTTTGAAATTTTGATGTGAAGACAACAACAATTGCAAATTGTTTTCGGCATTGCAAGATTTGGTCAGAAGAAAACAATGTTCCCGGACCAGAAGTTGGTGAATTAGATGAAGGTATCCAAGGATTAAATGATGTCATCTCTAATTTACACTATAGAAATGTGATAGATGTTGAACATCTTTTGAACTATCCTAACGAGAATGATGCAGTTATGGAATCACCTACAAACGAAGAAATTATTCAATCAGTAATGAACAGTAATGATGATGAGAATGATCCTGAACCAGATGATAGTAGCGTTGTCCCAAATGTGTCGTCAAAAGAGGCATTTCAAGCAATAGTCACCTTAAGCAACTACTTGCTACAACACGAGCAAAATATTCCGGAAGTTGTATATGCTCTACAAAAAGTTAAGGATGGGGTTCATTTTGGTTGAGGTGGGAAGAAAAAATAATCAACTATAGATGTATATTTTCAAAAGGAATGATTACTGTACGAGTATTGTTGATTGATTGAAAAATTTTGGTCTATATATATATATTTTTTTCTCAATGAAATCCAGTAATTATTACTTTATATTTTTATTGGGCCCTTAAGGATTCAATTTTTTTTTATTACTTAATGCATTTAGCGAGGTTATTACTTTAGTCCATTGGCCCAAGTCGGGATCGAAAGAAATTATTATATAGTCGAGGTTATTACTTTATCGAACATTACTTTATCGAGGTTTAACTGTATGCAAACTTTATTTCCAATGCTACTCTCTCTCTCTCTCTCCCTTCCTTTCTCTCTCTCTTTCTTTCTTCTCTCTCTTCCTCTGTCTCTTTACTTACTGTATGTGTAAATTGATGTGAGTAAAACTTTTTATCATGCCTATATATATGTGTAGGCTAGAATAGATGAACAAAATTTTGATTTGATAGAGCCAAATCTTGCAATCAACGTCTACTCACAATGTAATTTATTATTATCTTATTCAACTACAAGATATCCACTATCTCTATCCAACCGTATATGGGTGTATGGTGAATTTTTTTATAACTAGAATAATAGAATAGTGAAAACATGGGTCATCCTAGGAATCTCTAAATCAAAACTAATAAATAATGATAAAAATCCCACCTCACACTTTTTTTTTTTAAGAGAGAAAAATGAATTGACTTACAATCTATATAAAATTATATTTATACTATTTTTTTCAATTGGGTCTAATTTAATGTGTTCTTATCCAAAATAATTTTTTCTCAAGTCAAAGACTTCTAATTAATTACGATCTATCCAACGAATACAATATTGATATACCTATAATTGCTCTATCAAAATCTAATTTATTTGACCTAGATAAAATAGGACTTTATATAATATACAAAATAAATAAATTTTTATATGTAACATTTTTTGGGTTGCTACACTAACAATGATACGATAAGTTTGAACATTATCTGTATAATATGAGAAAGTTAATCATTTTGATTTACGTGCATAATAGGGTTATCTAATGATTTACATACAGAAGTGTCAAAAGGAGAGTTGTGAATTTTTATTTATTTATTATTATTTTTTGTAAAAAAATTAATTTGATCCAATCATATCTTACCATATCATATTTATATGAACCATTATATAAACTCTTATGTACATGTAGTACAATATTTATGTGAATAATAAGGCTACTAACAACCATCCAATGAAGTTGAAATAAATTTTGTTCATCGGAGATGGACAATACAATGGTAACGTCATTATCATATAGACCGATGATCATTGCTGTGAACATAAATTGCCCAAATAAAATATCTGAAATAATCGAGAACCACCTGCCCCTCTTTAACAAATATAAAGAAAATAAGCAAGATTAAACATCTTTTTAGGCAAGTGTATACGTAGGAAGTGGCCTAAGAGTGAACCTTACTCTATTTCTTCGGTTTAAAATGACTGCCTATGCTTCCATGGCAGCTTAATACACTGAATCAGATAAAAGATTAAATTGTATTAAAGAAGAAAAACACAGCAAATTTAGTCATAGTTAGTCCTACCCCAACAAACATGTCATCTAGGTTTAACTCTGGTCTTCACGGAGTTCCAAGTGATTTATCAACCACCAACATAAAAAGGTAAGAGGGAAAACAAAAATTAAGTTCCAACATAATATATTTTGACAAATTAATTAAGCTACTTATTACTTCAACTACAAAGTTTGGAGGAAACCAGCATACAAAAAGAAAAACTGCAATCCCCCGTGCGATTTCTCTGGAAAGTGAATAATCTATAGACGCATCAGAAAGATATGGTACACGTGCCATCAAATAATGGGGCATTAATTAATGAAAAACAGGAAAATGAAATTAAAGTGCTACACTTATCCAGCAACATACTTCTACACCCTTACAGCATCCGAACAATATAGTTAGTCGTTCCAGACGAGCAGTCTCCGATTTATAACTTCAGTATGCATGTGGTGTTGCAGACTGTAGCAGTATCTGATCTTTGTAAACTTCAGTATGGAGCTTATCCGGAAAAATATGAACAGAAAATTTTGAGGAAACGGTGCCTCTTTCACCACCAGAGTTCGGCCTATAAACAAAGCAGTTTATGACTATAAACTATCTTCTTGTGAAAAGAGTACGTCAAAATGTCACTATTAATGTACAACTGGCTCATCCAGAATTCCCAGCAACCTCTGCGGCACGCTGCCTCATCATTTCCATCACAGCTGCCCTTCTTCGGGAATCAGACTGCTGTTGCAGCCTTCTAATGTGCTCAGTCAAATCTCTGCATCAAAACATTGTAAATAAATTCATATGGTTTCTAGCACAAAACTAGGTTCATAGTGATGACACAGAGGTATGGGGGAAATTTCAAAGTCCCAAGGATAAAAATGAGATAGGTGAACAAACCTGCAGCGCGGTACAGTGCATTGGGATTCTTTGCAGGCTCGAGAATGAAGCTGAAGAAGATACCACATTTTCTTACAGAGAGCACACCCACCAGAAGCACGTATTTTGCACAGCATACCATGGCGGAAAAGTCCCTTCACCTTGCGACAGTTTGAATATTGGCAATTCGGAGAACGACACTGGGAAGCATGCACCAGGAGATCAAGCATTTTCCTAAGCTGCAAAGCAAAATAGATATCACGTCAGTAAGTCAGGTTTTTTTCCAAAGTCACTATGCAATACTTGTCTGCAATCAGAACTGACAGGTCATCATCATGTATGAGACTTTCAAATGCAATTGAACCATCTCTTTTGGATTGCATGCTTGTTCAAGCGGGTTATGCTATATGTACATTATGGTGTACAAGTGGCATAACATCGTTGCAGAGTTGAAAAACAGTTTTTCCAACCTTCCAATCATGAAATTCTACATATACATTAGACACCCTTATGAATACCATAATATACATGTAGAATTATCCTGTTCAAGCACTTAGAGAGTAACCTACATCTCTGGTGGAAAAAGCCAACCTTGGACTTTTAATGTGTGTGTCTTTGTCCAATTATTTTAATTGAAGAGCATTTCAAGCAACGAGGCGTACGAAACATTGAAAGAGCAAAAAGTGATGTGTATCGAAAGACCTAATAGATTAATGATAACGATGTAAAAGTAGCAAAATGAAGTGAAAAAACAAGAAATAAAAGAAATGAACAATGCACCTGCTGAACTCGGAATTGCCTTGCTTCTTTATTTTGTGCATCACGTTCATTGGATAATTGATTAGTTAACTTATGAGGATGACTAATCCCAACCTCTTTTTTATAACAAGCATTGCATACATCATAATCTGGGCATGTCTCGCAGTGCCAACCTTGACCGGCTTCTATATCATGTTGACATACATTACATGTCGTTACAAATGCTGGGGCAGTGGGATTGTGAAGATGGTAGAGGATCATCATTGAAGAATGCTTAGCACGGCGCAGTGTATCATATTGATAATGGTTCCCTTGACAAAGGCTAAGAAATGCCTGCCTCGTATCAAAGAATTCACTCTCAAGAAACTCATCTTTATCTTTGGTATCAACAGGAAGATCATTGATTTCTACCTGCAGTTTTTTCAACTTCTAAATACTATGTCTAATCCATGTAGAAAACGGAGAACACTGAAGTATGATTAAAACCACTTTTGAGCAAAAAATTATAAGCCTACAGAACTTACCAAGTAGAGTACATGCTTGTCCATTTGATTGATAGGATGTCTATCTCGGTACTCATGTTTTTGCTCAGATTCATAACACCTGAGGAAAGTCAAGGGAATGAAGGAGTCCTATGGTTAAATAAAAGAGTGCTACATTGATTATACAACCAGTTATTGATCACGGACTTCACTCATTTGCATACAAGTGTGGATGACAGATGAGTGGGAAATGTGATTTCAGTAAAAGAGAATTCTCGTCTGATGGAAATTGTTAATAAAGTTAATTTGAAGAATAACTCACATACCACTTACCATGGAAATAACAGTAATTAAGAAATCCACAGAATATTATTGGATTCATTTTGCAGAAAACCTCGATACAAAACAACTAAACTTTGAATGCCAATATTTTTTTGGCCAACATCAAATATATAGCTTTACAAATTCTTATTGCTCTCCGTTTCCTCTATCTCACAGGAACTAAGCTCCTCGATGACAGAACAGTAGGCCATTGAGTGGTTCGCTAGAGCATCTAACATGGCATGAAATCAATGACGGACCATATAATTCCCAAAGATACATAAAAAACAGGTATCACAAGCACAGACTGTTCAAGCTAGATATTCTATTTCCAATATGTATCTTCCTGAGTTTACAGTTTACCTCCACTTCCCTTACCTGACCAGGAGGGAGGTTGAGGAAGGAAGGGGAAAGGGGGTCTTGTTGGTAAGGGAGAAAGACCGATAAACTTCCCCATGGCAATCTAAACTTAGCATGCATCTTTTATTAATGTCTATCTAAAGCACGTAGAAAATGGATACTTCTCCAGGAAAGAGAAAAACAAGAAATAGTAATTAATTTGATGCCTAAAATGTCAGCAGACTCCTTACTTGTCACAAAGCTGAAAGTTTTTGCACTGTTTGCAAACCCAACGATTTCCAGATACCATTAGAATGCAGCAGTGTGAGCATGCATGTTGCAAGTGAACCATGATAAAGTCCTCCTTCATTGGAGAAATCATCTCACCAAGCTAAAAACAGAAAAAGTTTATAAGAACCAATAAAAGGACAGCAGCAATGTGTTTAACAGTAAGTGCTGGGGGAAAGAACCAAATAAAGAAAAAAGCATCAAAAACATAAATCAGTCAAAATGAGAGAGAAAATTCACAAAAAACAATTCAGGGAGAGAAAATAAATAACTATAAGCAAACAAACCATGAATATTTTTAAGTGCCTGTAATATTTCATTTTAGAAATACTAATAACAACAACTATATCATAATTGATAGATATTCAAAATAAAAGATTGCATTCCACAGAAATTTAAACACAGAAAAGAAAAATGTAAACACGGGCAATAAAATTACTTTATGCATTAACAGGAGGTCCCTTGATGCATTGCCAGAAAGATCAGCTTGACCAGATGCCTTTAAAGCTCTTTTTGTGATGGCTCTTTTCGTAGCTCCCTTCTTATGCTGTTTCATCCCATCCTCTTGTTGTAGTTGATAGATCATGTCCTCTGCAGCACCAGGCCAGTAATCTCCATCGAAGTATGGCAACCGTGCCGCAGTTACCTTAGCTTTACATTCGCCGGTAGAAACAAAGAAATGATCGTACAAATTAGTAAGAGCAACTACAACATTTTCCTTCACAGCTTTTCTTAACATGGACAAGTACCTGAAATAAAAGATAAACATCCATGTCAATATCAAAAAGTGATGGCAAAAATAAATACGACAGTCTCAAATTAGAAGACTATCAATCTTACCACTCCCTGAGTTTATCAGATTTTGGCGTCTTTTGAATTTCTGGGTGGCAATATAAAATGTAGTCTTCGCCCTTTAACGGAGGACAAGCCCATATGTAGCAGCTTGTGAAACCACGCAATTTGCAATATTCTAAATATCCAATCTGTAGGGAGTAACTAAATTGTTCAGGTATCAATATAACGAATCATAACAACATTTGTTTTGCCTTGCATGAATCAGGCACAAAAATTTAGCATGAAACGAAATGGAGGAAAAAACTTGCCAAAATTTCATGGTACACAAATGTCCGAAGAGCCTCCCCAGTGACTGTTTTGACGTCTGGCCTGAAATACTTCACAGAATCTAGATATGAGAGATAAACTCGCCGCTGATTTGGCTGCTGACATTCTGATCCAAATTCTTGAACATACATCCCAAAAAGGCATACTTCGACGCCTTCAATTTTCTGAAATAATAATACCACCTGGAAGATGCAACTCTTAGTTTGTAGCTTAAGAAGTTCATTGATGACACTTTCCAGAGTCAATTTAATGTGTAATCTTGTCAAAGAATTAGTTTTCCATGTCACATGTCATAATTATAGAAAATTACAAAGTTTTCTTAAATGTGCAAGGATGTATTTCAACTTGAATTTCTATAACCAGGTCAGATGGATCATGGATATAATAACATTGAAGGCTCAGAGGTTAGCATCCACAATTTACACAAGAAAAAGAAGAAGATGAAAGGAAATAAGAGCAGCCAGCCAAAGCACTAGAGAAAAGTGAAGTTATGTGAATTGTTCATGTTATTTTATATTCTTTCAAAATGGTATGCATTCATATAATTATAAATGAACTTAAAACTTGGAACCTTTTTACAAGGACCTTGAAATCATAGAGCTATGCTGTTTAATCTCGATTAACATAAGCAAACTGGTTTAAATTGTGTTCAGCATACCCTACATTTGTATGGCAACTTGGAAGATTACATTTTTGGTCTTAGCATACCTTAGATTTATATGCAAACTCCGATGGATAGTTTTCCTCTTGAAAAATTTCAAGAAACCTTGGTTTAACTTCTAACTTCTTATCCACAGATGATACAACTCTTACAACAAGTGCTTCTGCTCCAGGAACCTGGGAAAACCATTGTAACAGTAATCATATAACTAAAAGAAAGAACAGAAAATAAAAAGGTAGTAGGG